GTACCTGAACAAGGTCAGTTTGAAAAATTTCAAATAGTTCATTCTGAAATTTTTGCTTTTCACAATTAGACAAATTCTAACGAAAAGCCATTTTAGTTAGTGAAAAAAGATCACACTTAACATAATTTTAACGAAAGAAAACTGAAAAATCAGTCACACTGAATATTTCTTAATCAATTATTTGCTGTAAATGAAACCTGAATTAAAAAATTAATAGAATTACAGTTGAATCAATGGCAAATTGTTGTAGGAGTATTATGTGATTTCTTTTGCCTAATATAATGGTCAAACCATAAATGATAATAACCAAGTTCTTTATAAATTATGATAAATTAGGTCTGTACAAAAGTTCACTTCATCACCTATTAAGCAGTTTTGCAACTAATGAATCACTACAGCAGTATCAGTTTTTAGGCTAAATACTGAGTTAACAAGAAGTGTCATTTATGTGCAAAGGTTAGCTGCTGTGCACTGAGAAATTCTGCAAAGCAGAGTAGTAACGTCACAACTACTTTCAGTCGTTAATAAAATGTGAAAAAATTTTGACTCAATGGATGGGACTTGGTGCATTCGGAAAAAAGTTACTGGATTCAAATCCCAGTACGAACATGACCACTATGATTCAGGTCTGTCTGGCTGATTTGTTCCAAATAAATTGAAATGGGAAACTCTCATTTCGCTCCTAGCCGCTAGACAGCTGTATCTTAAAAAAGTCACGTGAGTATATTTCAAGTTGAATATCACTATATATATGAAAATATCTTGAAATAGATTTGAACAATATTTTGTCTGATTTATTTTTCAAAAATTTAAATATACTGAGAAAATTATACTCTATTTGTTTAATTAAGCGAATCACTGAAAAAAACATTTTGAAACAAATTTAAAAAAAATATTTTTTTAAGCCATGGAAATAAACTTTTGTAAATAGTTTAATTGTCAATGAACAATACCACATGATGTGTGATAATTTTATGTCTTATTTTGCAATTTGTCTAGTAAATTGCACTTCATTTCATAAAAGACCAACTACTTGAGTAAGAATATTTTAATATAGAAAAGTAATTTATTTACTATGAACTGTCAGGTATACTTAGTACTGATTCATGGAACTTTAAATGAACCTACTTCGATCAGAAAACAAAATCCATTATTGACTGACTGACTAGAACTTCTTTTCGTTCGAGATTTATATGATTGGTTCTAAAACGAATGGTTAGATGGTAGTTACATTCGAACATTAATTGAACTTTCTACAGCAAATAGGTATAAAGTAGGGCAAAACGTGTACTATGAACTTCTCCGTTGGTCGTTACTAAGTTAAATAAATATATACGATTGATCGACTTACAAGTTATTGGTAGTTCAAATTAATAAAATGTATTGGCTAAGATTTTAATGTTACCACTTATTTCCAACTTCATAAAATATGTTTGTAGAGATTTTATAATAGAGTAATTTGAATTACAGACTGGACAAATGTTAGTATCGAGATTGAAACTTCTGTCATGTTTTCCATAGAGTTTTATTTGAAATTATGATGCGGTGAAAGCTGTCTGCATGAATGTAAACAGATATCTACTGTTTTGGTCATGGAATGACCTCAATCTAACCACTGTTGAAAGCTTAGAATCATTAGACGCTATCACTCCCTGGTTTCCAAGCATGGTTTATTAAAGATCAGGTCATGATTTAAATTGTGAAAATTTTACAGCTTTCACAAATCTTCTTCATTAAGGACTGATATCCATTTTTATCAACAAACGTAAATAATTCATGTGCTCTAAAATTGCAATATGAAAATATTTTTATTTTTTAGTTAATCTAAATAATTGAAAGTCAAACTTGATCATGAAGCTTAACAAGCTGGTCATCTACACACTTTATTCCGTATTATAATAAACATGTTATCCTAAAAATAGACCATTTTTATTAATATTATTAACGTTAGTACTAGTAGTGGTATTTATGTAGTAGCGAAAATTAATTGAAAACAAATTTGGTGAAGTCGTAGGAATCGATCCATCAGCATCCTCTGTGTAGCTTTATAATAGGACTATGGTCTCACAGAATTAGTTCTAAGTTTAACACTCTACATAGTCTCAAGAAGAAATGAAAGTGACTGCTATATATATACAAAAGATTTAGTAAAAATCATTTGACAAATCGAACTAAAAGTTGTGCATCAAATAAACATAATTGTCTAATAATGCGATCGATTAACAACAACTAGAATAGCGTCACTTTAAAAAAAGTGAGGAACAGGTATGCTTTACTTGAAAACACATTTTCATTAGGATGCCTAATTCTCTGACGTTATAAGACAGATAAACTTATGATGGAGATTTGACAGATACACAGTTGATTAGTAAGGTATTATGATTCCATGCTATAAAGTATCTTTGTTGATCCATTGAAAGACTAAGAAATATTCACATATATAGTCTATTTAGTCTATACTAATGAAACGTTTCATGGTCGATTACTATCAGCAACTTAGGACGACAACTGTTACCCAGTCAGAGTGCCTACATTTGATTATATGAAACCTCAGTTTGAACCACAACTGTTTTGTGTGGCTTCAAAGCAAAGTAGAATTGAATACTTAAAAGTATTTCTCTTGATAACTAGTAAAGACTGTGAATAATCCAGATATAAAGCTTAAAACATTAACCCGAATGAAAAAAAGACTTCAAGTACAGATATAAATTAATTTTAAATAGTTTTATTAAATCGGAAACAATATAAAATCTACCATCGTTTGAAATAAATATTTACTAACTTTTTCTAGTCCAAACTATATCATATGTTATGGATTAAAGCCTGAAAATAATTAGTGTCATATGAAATCCTCAGTTATTTTACCATGATAGTACTTTGATGTTATTATAGCAAGTCACACATGCATAAACTAAGCTTCATAATACATGAAATTTGTGTCAGTCATTCGAGACGTTTCAAGAAATTTACTAATTATTCAGCCGGTTTCTTAACAAACCTAATGCAAAAAGAAATCCTTATCCGAGAGTCACTGTTTTGATAGAACAGTGAGAAGAAGCAGTTGATCTGAAAAATGTGATGTATTTACACTATACATACATATATAAAAGAGACTAATTGTCTGAAATCACTGTCTTCCTTGACAATATCATTATGTGCTGTCTAGAGATTAGCCTTGATAAGAATCACAGACATTCAATCTAGAAGTTGTGATTTATTAGTGACGTACAAGCAAACAGACTGTTCGGCAAATATCATTGATATCAGTGCATGAAGTTCAAACATTATTACCATTTTGTCGAATGTAAAATTGTGAACCTCTGCATGTTAACTTTGTGGTTCAAAATGCTTTCATTAAAGAACCTATCTTTCAATGCACTTTTTCACTTGACTGAGTTTTCAATTCAAAGGTTATGTTACTTTAACATTATTTTTCAATTAAAAACTTAATCTGAATAAAAACAATGAATGAGAAATACCAGGGAGTACGTATGATGAATGAAAAAAGCCGAAACAAATTTACCGACTTTAAATATTTTTTTAATGAGAAGAAAGAATAAAAGGCGGAAGAATAAAAAAACACGCATAATCAGACTATAAAATAGCAGATAATTCATTCAAAATGAAATACGCTTTAACCAATACGATTACTTAATTATCTTGTCCATTGTTTCGAATTCTGCTTTATTTTTCGTAGTCAACTTATTTCGCTTGTTCACTTCATCTCACCTTTTTTTTTACTTCATTTTACTATTCTAACTAGTTGGCTCGATGGCTGGCTTGTTTGTTTATTCGTATCATTGTGTTCCTGTTATGCTGATTTTGTTTTCCTTACATATCTAATACGAATAGAAATCAAATAAATTTATGTGTGTATTTACTGTCTAGTCAGAAAAAAATAATCAACTTTCTGGCAATGATTTATGAAAATGTTTACAAGTTTGGTGTTTAGTTTATTATTCCGAATATAAAGCAACAGAAAGCTACAATGGTGTAGTGTAAACTAATAAAGGATTATAGTTGTAAGTTTTCCCTAATCGAAAAAAAACATGGAGAAGAATATTATAACACACGGGAAAAATGAAAACGATCACACCAGAAAGCATAAATTAATTCAATTCCATACACTTACATAGACAATATTCATGTCTACATTCGTATGAATTTATATAGAATAGTTAAATTTACATAGTGGTTTGAGTTTAATCCTATATATTCCTTTGATTGACTGTATTTAGTGAAAATATGATATACGGTGAAAGAAAATAAATAAAGTAAAAATATTCATGTACATTTTAATTATGACGTCCTAATATACACTCATCATGTAATAATTACCTTGTCTTCTTCTTCGTCATTAATATACGCTTACAAATGTTATCTGGTCTAATAAAATTTTGTTCTTTGAAGAACCGACATAGTAACTAGTGGTCAGTAAATCTTAAATAACCCTAGTGTTAAAAGTTATAGCATTTTTGTACCGGAGAAAGAGCATGATTTACTAATAAATATAAACTGGTTTAACTTATATTACCAACAATAAAAAAATACAACACTGTCACAACTGTTTTGAAAATGTTATATTGACTAGTTAATAAGTTTAATTCTAATAGGAAACGATAAAGAAACTTTAGGCATGATGATATTTCTTTAAATACCTAGATAAATCATATGATTATCTGGATATGTCCATATGTAGCCCATGGAAAACTCAAGTAAACATCAATGCAGATCACTTCCAGAGGTTAGGCGTTCGCGCACAAAACCGAAGGTCCCGGGTTCGTATCCCGCAAGTGGCAGGAGTCGTGGATGTGCACTGCTGATGATTCCCAGGACGAAACGGCTGTCCAGTACTTGCGACTTTCTAATTGTTGTCTAGCGATGAATGATCGTTGATTTCAATGTGTGTAAACATGGATTCAAATATTAAGTAGTTTAGTGCTCACATTTTTTATTTTCCACCTACAGTGCTTGTGGCTTAGTTCAATAAAACAAGTGAATCGGTACTGTAATCAAATCGATAAAATAGCAAATATCGAAATAAAAGCATTATTTAACTTCGCTTGAAAACATTTCGCATAAACTTACACCATTTGATTCTGATTGTATTGTTGTTGTAGGAATTAAACATGTTTCCGTATAACTATTAAAATTGTTACATCCTACTAATCCATCAGTGCTTGATATTGTTCTAAGTGGAGATTTATAACCATAAAATATTTTCTGTTCACTATTTATTATTGGTCCATCTTCACAATAATGATTCATTGGACATGGAAATTCAGTTGGCATTAATGCTGAACTACTTTTATCACTATCTGTATGACTAGATCGCATTCTGTCTAATGTGTTCAATGCACAAAAATTATAGATTGGTGGTGGTCCAAAATTTCCCATTGTATAACCACCACATTCTGGATTCCATTTGTACAAACTTTCACCATCTCCTTGGCATATTGTATTCATAATTGGTGAATGATACAATTTGCCTAAATTACTAATTGTACCGTCTAAATTGACATTTTCTTCAATAATTAATTCATCATTCAAACGAAGCGGAAATGCGTTTGTTTTATCATATTTTGACAATTTCCGATTGATTTGACGTTGTCGTTGTTGTTGTTGACTTGATCTACGTCGAATTGAAACGAACACAATAATAAGGCATATTGATGTAAGGCACATAATTAGCAGTAGAATGATAACTAAGATAATTCCTAAATGACCATTTGTCAGTAAATATCCTAGAAAACCTTTATCACCAAATTTATCAGTGAAAGCTGAATTCACCGATTGATACGCTTGAAGAAATAAACGTGCATTTGAATCTAAAGGAGGATTGCCATTATCACATACACGTAGATATAATTCATATATCCCACTGCCAGTTAGTCCTGTACCTTTTTGTCCAGGACCAGCGACTAGCTCACCAGTTTTACTAATTACCATAAAATATGGTGAATTTGTTGAGGAAGCAGTGTAAGAATTTGTAGAATGGATTCTGTTGTCGTACAGAGTTTTATCCATACTTTGTATGTAATCCTCATTCAATAGTTGTACTTTAATCAGTTGAAATGTTAAATTTGCATTATGCACGTCATCAGCATCTTTAGCTGATAAAATTAAAATTTGTTGTCCTCGATAAATTGGCGTAGTTATATTCATTATTCCCAGATCTGTTACTGTACCTAAACCGATCATATGTGGTCGTTTGAGTATGTTAGTCTGTTGAGAAAATTCATCTTTTGAAGCTTGTAATATTTCTTCCCATTGTGGTGTATTATCATTTTCATCAAGCACATTAACAAATACAGTAGCTGTTGAACTATGTTGAACAGGTGTTCCAAGATCATGCAATAAGATAATCAATTCATATTGATTATTTTCTTCTCTGTCAAGTTTCTTCGTAGCAAATATTTTACCACTATCACTATTAATCATAAATAATTCATTAGGGATGCTATTTTTTTTACTATCACTAACTGATATTAATTTATAATGCACTGTTCCATTATTTCCATTATCTTGATCAATTGAAATAAGTTGACCAAGTAAATCAGAGAATCCTGGACGATTTTCAACTATTTGAAATGTTTTACTCCCGATAAGTTCTGGAGCATTATCATTTTTGTCAGTTAGTTCCACTGTGACATTTGCAACAGCTAAATCATTATCTTGAATGGTTTCAGATGAATACTGATCAGTAGCATAAACAAGAAATCTAATTTGAGGCATAGTTTCTCTGTCTAGTATAGCTTTTGTAGTTATCACACCGGTATCAGGATCTATGTGAAAATAGGATTGCGCCTCACTTGATATATGATATTGTATTTCTGGAGTAGAATCTGCATCACTGGCATGAATTTGTAATAAAAATGTGTCTAATGGTTGGTCTTCAAGCATACTATGCTTGATGATCCGATTTTCTCTAGTAAACGTTGGTCTGTATTCATTTAAATCTAATATATTCAATAAAATGATTTGTTCAGTTGTTCGACTTGGTTTACCATTATCTTGGCATGTAATAACAATTTTCACCGTCCCATCTATCATCGCTTCACGATCAAATGATTTAGTTGCACTTAGACGATAGATTTCACGACCTTTCGCAGAATTCGCATGTTCAAGTTGAAAATCTTCAGTTTTAGATTTTAAAGTGCAGGTCACTTCACTATTCTCACCAATGTCATCATCTCCAGCAATAATTAAACCAATATTTGATCCAGCTGGTTGATTTTCATTTATTGATAACTGTGCTTCGTGATGATCACTTTGGTTAACTTTACTCACAGTATTATTATTATTCACTGATGTCTTTTGTAAACTACCCTCTTGTGTTGATCGGATTTCAATCCATGGAGCATGATCATTGGTATCTTTTACAGTAATACGAACTACAGTCTGACCAACTAATGGTATTGTTCCACTATCCTGTACTATAATTGGTAAGATAAATATACTATTTTCTTTAGCATTTAACGATGCTTTCAAATAGATCTCTCCAGTATCATTATTGATTTTAAAATGTTCCAAAGACGGCTGACTAATTGATCGACCAAATTTATAAAATAATTTACTATTTTGACTAGAATCAGCATCAGTTGCATTTAATTTAATTAATAATGAATTAATTGTAATATTTTCTAAAATGTCAATATCATAAACAGATTGATTAAATATTGGTTTATTATCATTAATGTCAGTTACATGAACTTGAAATGGTTGATTCACACATTTCGGTATGATTTGACCACCATCACATGCAATCAATTCACCGGTATAAATATTTTTACTTTCTGCGTCTAATTCACCTAAAATAACAAGATTTAAACTGTACGGTGGTCGATAGGACAATGAAAATAATGAAGAATGAAAATCATCACCACGCAGTGAATATGACTGAACAGAATTAATACCTTTATCTGGATCTTTAGCAATCATCAATGGTATTTCATAACCGGAACTAACCGATTCAGACACATTTACATTATAGATTGATTTCTCCGATACATTTGAATTTGATGAAGAAGTAAGTTGAAAAAAATAAGGTACATGATCATTGATATCATGGATAGTAATGATTACATTAATCCAATGTATACGTGAAATACAAACGGTCAAGTGAATTTGACATTCTTTCGGTGGTAAAATTTCATTTGATCTACTGTCCATCATTGAAGATGATGATGATGATGATGATGACAAGATTGAACGTTGATCATTCAATAATAATCCATTGAATTCTTCTGTAATCATATCAGGTTGTGGACATAATGTTTCACGATCAATACGTGATGCAACAAACAATTTTCCACTCGTTTCTTCAATACGAAATAAATTTTTATTTGTATCATCATATAGTTCAAAGGTGGGCAAATTATTCTCATTCATCATTAAATTCATAAAAAATTTCTTTTCTGCATCTAATTTTAAATTACCTATATAAGAACCAATTTCTGATTCTTCATTGATAGAATAAAATAATTCCTTTGAATTGGTTTGATTAAATGAATAACAATTTGTGTAATCAATTAATAATTGAATGTAAAGAAATAAATAAAATTGAAAATAATACTGTAAATTATGCATAATATACATGATTTTAAAAATTGTACATCGTACTTTTTTTTTATCATAAATACATGTTGTATTCCATTGGTTGGTGGTTATGATACATACAGTATGTGATACATTAAAACAAATCTTTTACCTTGTGGTTCAATGTTCAATGAGCCAATTTCTTATACAATTCTTTGAATAACACGATAAACATTTCTATTGTTTTTCAAAAAAAAATGAAGTATTTATTTATAATTGTCTGAAATTAATGTTAGCATAGTGGGAAAAATGAAATAACCTTTGAAATGATTGTACGTATATATATATATCGTGTGTATCAAATTGAACTGACAACCAACAGAAACACAACACAACACACAACAAAACAAACTGAACTAAATAAATAAAAAATTTGAAAGTTAAAAAAAGAAGAACTACAAATCCCATCAACCAATCCAATGATGAGTTTACTCTGTTTGGTTTGTTTTAATTATATATATATGAATATGTGTATTTTTTTTACAACAATTTCCTCAGTTGGTTGTACCAAAACACACTAGGTGGTTAAATAAATAGATAGATAGATGGGTAGATAGATGGATAGATGAATGAATATCAATATATAGGAAGATGGATAGACGGGTGAGCTTAGGTGGTAGATAAATTTTTAAAAGGAATATCTATCTAGATGGATAGATGACACATAGATCGATGTACAGACATGGATAGTGTTCTCATTTTGTTTTAGTTTTATATTTAAACAATCTGAGAGAAATCGGGCAATTAATATAATAGAAAGCAAAAAGGACAAACAGTTCAACCTTAATTTAGTGTGAATATGATGATGATGATGATGGTCGGCATAACAGAACACGTGACGAATAAGAAAAAGTTTACTTCATATCACTTTCTATTAGTGCAATCTTTGGTAATGATGGATAGATAAGGGATTTCAGATTCATCGTAAATACAAATGATATTTTTAAATATTGTGAGTAGGGTAAAATTTATTCACATCAATATAACCAATTGTACGAATCAATAATCGATAGGTATGTATGAATGGGTTTCTTCTCATTGCACCTTCAATAAATTGGTCGCAAGGAGATCGCTTTGTTGGATTTCATACTATAACCATAACTTATTATATGTGTGAAGTTATTTATTATTTTCAGCAAATATAAAAAGACTACATGTAACTGTTGTACTCAAGTAATAAAAATGTTTTAGTTAGTCAGTGAGTCTATTAGCTAGAACGTAGAATTTCATAGGTTTATACATCAGTTGTGGTTGTCATACCAGATTAACACACAGAGATGAGATCGTCAATTAAAATTCCATATTAATAGAGGTAGTGGAAGTATTGGCGGTTATGGAGAAGATCAGGATTAGGAAATGTGATCCGAGAAGCATATCCCAGTGGAAAAAATTTGGAAACAGAAAATTAAGTCATGAGGAATACATGAAGAATACATGCATTTGCAAACGATTATGTGCCATGTCATTCAAAGCATCTAAGCATCGGTTACTAGTCTCGCGAACCCCAACCAGCTAGTCTACATCTAATAGCATGGCTCAATTCAATCGTCAATGAATTCATGGAATTGTGTCATATTACTGTTTGATGATGATGATGACGACGACGTTTGTATATCAGTTGTAGTTGTCATACCACATTTGCACACAAAGATGCAACTGTCAATTCAAATTCCATAGTAGTAGTAGAGACAGTAGAATATTGATGGTTATGTCGAAGGTTAGGGTTAGAAGATATGATTCGTGTAGTACATTCCAGTGGAATCAAAAAGTCATGAGCAATTCAGAATTGGTGACTATTCCCTCACTGACACCGACTGGCCCGTCATCACCTACTAGCATGCCACAGTCCAGTTTTCAGTGACTTCATTGATTTTATTACTGTTTGATGATTACTATCTGTTCCTAATCTTTATGCATATTTTTATGCATTCAATATGATCGGTAATGATTTTTGTGTTTCCTGATTGTAATATTTACTAAACAATGAATGTAAAGTTTACATAGATATAAAAGAATTTTCGTTTCTGGATTATACTACTTATAAGATTTGTTTTGGGGCAGAGTTTTGGAGGTTTGTGTTTTAACACATTTGAAATCATTAATCAATCATTGTTAAACCACCATTAGAAAACTGGAAGCACTGGACGCCCTTTTGGTCCTGGTATGAGACTCATCATCAAATGTGTAAAAACACAAACCTCCAAAACTCTGCCCAAAAATATCCTAACAGTGCTCACTAGTGACTAGCTTCGTGAGGAAATTCTCGGAGTTCTAATTGAGAAGACGTGACTAATCGAGTTCAACAATGTCTAGTGTAGGCAGTAATTACCAAAGACAAATGGGTGAGGTCGCGCCCGTAGGTCAATCAGAGTTAGACGTGAACACCGCTGGATGTCGCTTCAGTGGTCCGATGGTTGGGCGTTCGCGCACAATACCGAAAGTCCTGTGTTCGAATCCTACGAGGTGCAGGAGTCGCGGATGCGTACTGCTGATGAGTCCCATACCAGGAGGAAACGGCCGTCTTTCAGTGCTTCCAGGTTTCTAATGGTGGTATAACAATGAATGCATCCGCATTTTAATAATGAAAGTAATCAGTTTGCATTATCACATGGGACAAAGCAAAAACAATTCAATCATCTAAACTTGAAGTTAATGGTAAGAGTTATCGAATGCATTGTCCTCTGAGTGTTTGAAAAATTAAATCTTACAATCATCAATTAATCTATGTACTTACTGAGTCATCGGTTTAGATTTCCTATCTCTCTGATGTCTTCTAAATTCTTTCATTTACGCTGAGTATCCTAGTCTAATGACATACAGCGGCGCCTTCAGGCTAAACTTTGACCAGTCAAAGGTTGAGAAGGTTGTGAAAGCATCATCTAATGTTTAATAACTGCAGAATGTTTTATTTTACATGCTTTGTTCATACATACAGATGTAACGTCGTTAACCTTAATATTTCTCATGAATGATTCAATTACTCTACTATGCTTTTCAGGTCAAACATTTAAAAAGTTATGATGTAGTCGTAATTATTTCTTTTGAAAAAAAATTTATGTAAATTGTCGAAGTAATAAACTAATGCTCATGATTCATTATAATATTGACAATATTTAACCTTATTATTTAAAATCATACATAATTAAACGTAAAGCAAACATTAGAATAAGGTCGATTAAATATATTGGAAAGCATTATTAATTAAGACTAGCATGGGATAGGTAAAAAGATCATTGTCCATCAACTCAATCTACGTGAAAATCCATAGTGAAAAATATCTAAGTTTTGAATTCATAAATATACATGGGATGTACCGAAGAATTATGAGTCAGTAAATGGTTACCTTAAACTAACAGCCCATAATGTATGACTATCAAGGTATACAAATAGGGACGAATAACTGTTTTACATTGGAATGGTAAATCAATCATCATTCTTTCAGGTTTCGAATAATGGTCTAACGATGATCAATTCACGATTCCAATGTTAAACAACGATCTCCATAACTCAATAATGAAGAATAACTATTTACTGTAATCCCCAATATGAGTCGAATAATGGACGAAATAGTTGATGTGATCATGCTTCAGAATGAATAGAAGTTTAGTTTTTGAGTGATTCTGTTGGGAATGTTAGATCTCTAGAACTCATTTGATAAATGTCTTTATTTTAGATTGAGATCACATTTCCCACCTGGAGAATCCTTGGTTGTGATTGGTCACGGTGTCATTTTGGTGTACTATTTTTGTGACTGTCCCAAGGACGTCTCTATGGCGTATAGATAAACGCAGTTTGAGTGCTTGAATTGATTGTGCGCTAGCTGGGTGTTTTTAGAATACACTTCCTACGCTATATCAAGACTTCTTGCTGGTACAGTCGATACAATCGTATCACAATAATCTCCCTGGACTCTGGTTCATTGTTTTGTTCTCGTAATAGTTTAAGCATACCTAGAGACGAGCGTGACAGTTTCATCAAGGTGTAATCATTTTAGTACTTACAGTAACAGCTGAGCTAAAACGTCACTACGTCTTTTTATTACTGAGATACTAAGATACTGAGACACTAGAACTTTTACAGCACAAAGTTTATGATAATTGTAGTGAATTAGCACATATTACTAGTAAATATAAAGTAGCTCATACGATCTAAATTACATGAATTTGCTTCTTAATACTTCGAGTTGTCAAATAACCAATAATAAACGGACACAAGCTAAATACAACTGAACAAGTAGATAGTAAATACTGAATATTGTTTTTTGAAATGAGTTCTAAAGCTTTTTGTGAATGGTAACACGAACCAATTAATGCAATTTTTATGTCATTTTCTTGTTAAAATTTACTGAAACAAAGTAAACAAATCAAATATTTGAAACGATATGTTACACTAACAAAAATTGCTAGTTTGACAAGTTATTTCTCATGATGAAATTAGTATCAGTTAAAAAAGGGTATTAAATCTATGTTTCATTCCGATTGTATTTAGCCGACTCAAACAAAAGTCACACACTCTACGTGACCTAAAAGCCTTTTGTTTTTGTTATGACAAACGAATGTAATTCGACATTTGAGTAAATAAACTTTATTCACTTAGAGTTATGGAGAGATTGTTGTTTGGTTACTGAAATCGTGAATCAATCATTCATTGTAAGAGCACTATTAGAAACCTGCAAGCACTGAACGGCCTCTCCCATCCTAGCATGAGACTCAGAAGCAGTGCGTATCCAAGACTCCTGCTTCTCGCAGGAATCTCAGCATAAAAGACTTCAATAATTATATAATTTTATGTAACTCATTATTAGTATGCATGAATCTTTAATTAGATTGCAACTAAAAAACGAGATCATTGAGAAATTCGGTAACTTCTATTTCTCTACTGTTTGCGAATCGTCAAGTAGCTTTCAAAACTGTTGTACTTTAAATTGTCTATTATGAACTAAAAAAATCACAAAATATCCCTCAGAAAAATATATGTTGTTTCGAGATAGAATAAAAGTA